TTAATCATTAAACCTCTCTGCTAATTATCCCCCCTGCCCCCACGGAGAAGCTTTAGTCTGGAGCCTATCCCATGCAGGGTCGCTCCTGTTCTGCATCAGAAGCGGCCGAGGCATTTCAGAAAGCTCTCACCAGCTGTCGGTTTCATTCGGCACCGGGTGGATCCGTGGGCCTCTCCAAGGGGCTCTTTTCGGTGTGGCAGCTTCACCCGTTCCTTGATTTTTAGCAGGACTTTCGCCTGTCAGAGTTGTAGCTCTGCTATTCCAGTTGCCTTACCCCCTCCCCTCTGAAGGTGGGGGGGCTGCTGCTGCTAGGCCCAGGGGAAAGTACCAGCAGAAGACGGAGTGGATGTACGTTCTCCCCTTTGGAGGGCCGGGACCCGGGTGTGCACTCGCCAAGTCTCCCTGGAATGTTCCTGTCTAGCCTCACGTCGGGACACCGGCGTCCAGCTGACCCGAGGAGCGAAGTTGTGAGAAGTTGCTCCCTGCACACGGCTCCGGTAGAGCTTAACCATTTCCTTCTTACCCAGTGGCAGCAAAGGCAAGACAGGTGCTGTCGTTTGCAAGGCATTCTTTGACCGTGTGACTTTTGGAAGAGAGAGGGCATTTAGGTCCCATCTACTCTACAACTATAATTGAGGAAGAGGCGGGATCACAGTGGTCTCCGGGCCCAGTTGCAGCACTGTTAATGAGTAATGCAAGGGGAACCTAACCGTATTCCCCCAACCCTTAGATGGTCCCAGGGTTTTAACCAGCTATGTCCATTCTGCATTGCAGTCTTTAACCGGGTTGCAACTGGCTGGATTATAATCGTAGTGTAGACTGGGTTCTTTGCAACAGTGGGGTAGAGAGACCGAAGGGTTCACGTTGCAGATGGAATGGTGCAGGGAGAGGATGTTTGGGTTGGAGAGAGAGAGAGGCCAGCCACGAAGGTGCTAACGCAGAGAACAGAGAGCTTGGAATGGGACCACCTTTGTGCAATCGCTGCTCTCCCACGAGCATGTTGTACGTGTTACTTTGCTGTGCAGTGGAAAACACACACACTGCCTTTCATTAGGGCTGCTATATTCTCATCCACTGTGGAGATTGAAACTGGAATCATAGAATATCAGGGTTGGAAGGGACCTCAGGAGGTATCTAGTCCAACCCCCTGCTCAGAGCAGGACCAATCCCCAACTAAATCCCCAAATGGCCCCCTCAAGGATTAAACTCACAACCCTGGGTTTAGCAGGCCAATGCTCAAACCACTGAGCTATCCCTCCCCCTGTTTGTCCCTCCGCGTTCTGGCTCTCCCTGTAACTTCCAGATTAGCCCCGTTAGCACTAATTAGAATGAAAACAATACGTTGAGCTTCTACAGCAACGCTCAGATGAGTCTGGTTTTATAGGAATTAGCCAACTAATCTCCACAACCCCCCTCTGATGTAGGCAGGTAGGATTATCCCCATTACTGACAGGTAAACTGAGGCACAGAGCCTGTGATGCTTGGGTAGCTCGCCAATCAGGAGACCATCTCCTTATCTATCAAGACATGTCTACGGTCACCACGTAATCTAAGCATCTCCCTAGTATTTGAAAATGCAAATAACAATAACAAGCTTTTTCCCTTTCCAGCCCAGAGGAGAAACAGCTGAATTGGTTTACAGGGCAAGTCACTTATGGAGGGAAAGCTCAATCCAGTGCATTTAGGGCCTCATTTCTTGTGGCCAAGAGTTCCGCTGGGTCCAAGAGCTGTAAAATTCCGTCTCCTGCATTCATGAGCCTCTCCTTATTAGTCCACAGTCCCCGTGGAATAGCTGCATCATTCTAGGTCACGATTGCAGAGGCGATCTCGCCATTGCTCAAATGGGTTTACGAAGCAATTTATGGTCTGGATAAATTCTGCCAGGAGGTGGGGGGGGCTATGTGGGTAAAAGAGGAGAAGTCAGGCAGGAATTCTGTATGTCAGATCATTTTTTCCACCCACACTTCACTTCCTCTCATCCGAAAAGCCTGGCGTTGTAAGGGTGGGCGTGGACACTTTGGTATTCATGTCTGCCTCACTTAGGTGCTTATATGACTTCCATTCCCTTATTATCTGACCACCTCACAATCTTATTTATCGTCACAACCTCCCCAGGAGGTAGAGAAGCGCTAGCCTCCCCTGAGTTAGAGCGCCGGGAGACTGAGTGACTTGCCCAAGGTCACGCAGGAAATCTGTTGCAGAGCAGGCACTTGACCCAAAGTCTCCCAGATCGTAAGCTAGTGCTCTAACCATTGGGAAGCACTTCCTCTCTATAGCTTAGCTATAGAAGTAGCCAGGGAGCTGTAATAGCCTCGTCGTCCTCCTTGGCCGGGGAGAGTTTGTTTCTACCGATAAGCTTCCTTATCCAGTACTAGAGGTCATGCGCTCCTCGTTGATAGTCATGGTATTCTGCATATAAGACTGGCTGTAGCCTGGGAGATGACTCCCAAGGCACAATGAGAAATAGTGTCTCTTCTGAAACTGAATTGCCCTGGAAGAATCGGTTTTATCTGTTCCCTTTCCCATTCTCATCCCAGGGCCAGATTAAGTGCCGTTGTCCGAAAGGATAAAGAAATCCACTTTTGATTGCTTTGATAGTGGGTGTTTTTTTTTTTATCATGGTTGCAGATGCATTTACATTCTCTTTTACAAATGCAAAGAGCAGGCAAAAGCCACTTTCAATAATTTATTTTCAAATCAATGCTAATGAGGTTATGTCTCGTCAGTGGCCGAGTTTTACAATAAAGTCTGATTTATTTAGAAAAGATCTTTGGTGCCACTTCCCGTCTAATGGGGGAGCCGTTGCAGTGACCCTCCAACTTCGGATCCAATTTGTAATTCACAGCGGAGCTCTGACCTGATTTGCATTGATTAGAATCGGGAGGCAGAGACAGCTGGGGCCGGGCCGTGGAGGGTGGGGGAGAGCACTCTGTCTTCCAAAAGTGCCTAAACGCAGCAGATTATCTACCGCCTTGCGATCAAGTTGCACAGTATCAGCAAAAGGCCCGTCGCTGACTTTATTAGAAAGGCCCTCCCGACCGTGGTTCCTCATGAAACGGGGGTACATACGGCTCTGCCCTGAGATTAGAGCAAAACTTGGTGCCTTTGGGTTCACAGACCGAGCTTCAGTCACGGTACCTCGTGCTCCTGCATAGGACTTGCCTATGCTGCAAAAATAACCCATTGCTAACCACAGGTGCAGCTCAATGCTGTCTGTCAGGGCCGAATTAGGTGCTGAATCCGCGCTATAGGTGGATGTCCAGGGGGCTGACTTCCAGAGACATGGAGCAGTCCTGGAATCTGGGTTTTGTTTCTAAACTTTGTGGTTGCACAGAGAAACCTGCACATGTGACCCAAGCGGTGACGTCTTCCTGAGTCTGCAGACAACCTCTGGCAGAGGGAGCGTGCTAGAGCCATCCCAGATCTCCTGTTCTGGGTGGGTGGGGTGTGGCTAGGATCTTGGATTGCCTGAATCCAGCCCTGATTCCTGTCATTGCCGATGCTTGCCGCCAAACTGAATTCAGCACTGGTTTGGCCGAGTAGCGTATCCACACCTTGTGTGGGTGCCGCTCCATCAGGGATTCTGAACCTGTATTCATGTGGCAGTGTAAGGACCTTGCACCAGTCAACTCCTGGGAGAGCGAATGCCGGTGCTAAATGATAGGTTACCCATTTAAACTAAATCACCAGAACCCAGTTGTAAACCGATGTAAGTGTGCGCTGACTTAGCCCAAACTGATTTGAGTTAAACTGGTGCGACTATTGTGTATAAATAAGCCATTCTTTCTCTCACACTGACTTCAATCTCCTTTTGTGCTCATGAGTAGCCTAGGTCCCACCGGCTCCCTGCTCTTTGTTTCGTCTTAATCCTGTTCTGTGCAGTCCTCTCCCCTATGGCTCAAACCTTCTCCCACTGAAATAGGGTGACCAGACAGCAAGTGTGAAAAATCGGGACAGAGGTGGGGGGTAATAGGTGCTAATATAAGAAAAAGCCCCCCAAAATCAGGACATCTGGTCACCCTACACTGAAATCAGTGGCTAAACTCCCATGACCTCAGCATCTTCTACCATCTGCCCTCTATGCCTGGATCATCCTCTCTCTTCTTCACGGGCAGGGGTCCTTTCTCTCACTTTCTTCAGATTCCCCCTTAAATCTGCTTCTTTCAAGAAATCATTCCACCTCCTCAGTTTCCTGGAAATTATTGTTCAGTCAGTGTCTTGTGTCCCGCAGACCATAAACTTTTCAGTGCAGGAAACGTCTCTTCCTAGATGATGCTTCTAAAGTGCCATGTAACTTTATGAGGGTATAGTAAGTGATTTGTTTTTAACAGTGTTAATAGGAATTCATGGGTTTATGCAACGTGCTTTAAAGTATTACCTGTCCCAGGAGCGGAAGACTTCCCCTTCCCCTTTTTTTCAAATTTACTGGTTTGAGAATCAGATGCTCTCTCGAGGCAAGTCATCCGAACGATTTTATCGAATCGAATCTCTAATCTAATGTAATCTGTTGGTATCGTACTGCTGCTGGGCATTGCTGGAGTATCTCTACTTCATCCACATAATGGTTCTGTGTCTTCTAAAAGCCGCCACTCAAGGGTTAATTCCTTCTGGGACCAGTGTGCGTGGAAGTCGTCACAGTCTCCGTTTGTCCATAGGCTTCTCTGTGCGCCATGTCCTTTTTTCAAACGCAGGGCCCGGACTGGCATCCACTACTCTCTGAAATGAGAGCGCCAGGCATTCAGATACCCTGGCGGTGGGCATCGCATAAAGCCCCCAGGGCAGGCTTTTCCAAAACGGACGGCGTTGGCATTGTTCTGTGCCCAGAGAAGTCAATGGGAGTTTTACCACGGACTTCAGTGGGAGCAGAGTTCGGTCAATGCTGAGAGCTTTGGAAAAGTCCCACCCCTCGTCTAGGGCATAGGGTGGAGAGGCCTCCCATGCGGTTTCCATAATCTCTCGCTAACCAAGTTCTTTCATTTCATTTCCCCCCTCCCCTCCAGATGAGGAGCTTGACTCACCCGTCCTGGAGGACAGAGAAGACGCTGGAAGTAAAGGGAAAACAGGTAAGAGACGACCACGTCATTTGGAAGCAACAGGCTCCTTGGGGCTGGACTGCAGGAAGGACCTTCCTCCGGCTAGTTAGATCAGGAGTTAGTGTACCTCTTTGACTGTAAAAAAAAAAAAACCAACCCCAAGGAGTCCTTGTGGCACCTTAGAGACTAACAAATTTATTTGGGCATAAGCTTTCGTGGGCTAGAACCCATTACATCTGATGAAGGACTCCTCGGTTTGTTTTGCTGATACAGACTAACACAGCTACCACTGAAACCTCTCTGACTGGGTGGCTGAGAGCATAGAGGAGGGAAAAGGCCCCAGGATTGAGGCTGATGACGATGAGTGTGGAGGGGAGGAGGCTCTTAGCTGCTCAGAACCCTTTGAGAACCTTCTCCGTTAGCTGCCCCCTTTCTGTTCCGCTCTACTCTGCGCTGGTTAGGCCTCAGCTGGAGTATGGTGTCCAGTTCTGGGCACCGCATTTCAAGAAAGATGTGGAGAAATTGGAGAAGGTCCTGAGAAGAGCAACAAGAATGATTAAAGGTCCAGAGAACATGACCTATGAAGGAAGGCTGAAAGAATTGGGTTTGTTTAGTTTGGAAAAAAGAAGACTGAGAGGGAACATGATAGCAGTTTTCAGATGTCATAAGGAGGAGGGAGAAAACTTGTTCACCTTAGCCTCTAAGGATAGAACAAGAAGCAATGGGCTTAAACTGCAGCAAGGGAGGTCTAGGTTGGACATTAGGAAAAAGTTCCTAACGGTCAGGGTGGTTAAACATTGGAATAAACTGCCTAGGGAGGTTGTGGAATCTCCATCTCTGGAGATACTTAAGAGTAGGTTAGATAAATGTCTATCAGGGATGGTCTAGACAGTATTTGATCCTGCCATGCGGGCAGGGGACTGGACTCAATGACTTCTCTAGGACTGGAAGGGACCTCGAGTCTATGAATCTATGAATCCCCCGGCAACCAGCTGCTTTACTTACGCCCCCCTGCTCCACCAATGGGCTGTGAGGTATCTTCCCCCCTCCACCTCCGAGCCTCCCTTCAGGTCTCACCATTACCAGCAGTGAGCTGTTAAGGCTGGGTGGGCTCACCATGGGGTTTCCTCTCCTTCCAATCCTCCCTTGGCTATTAATGCTGGCTTCCAGCAGCACAAGACCATCCAGCATCTCTCTACTCTCCTGTAGCCCCCTACCTGCTGTGACAGCACTGAGTCCCTTTCCAAAGGTTGGGCCGAGAGCTCCAGGATCCAGCTAACCTCCAGGCCTATCAGCAAAGGGGGACCGCACAGCCCAGTGGGGAAAGGAAGTCCTGTCTCGAGAAGCTGACCAAATGCTTCACTGATGCTACTTCGAATGAAACACATTGAGATACAAGTACCTAGACAATGTTCATAACTTCAAATACAAAAACGATACACACATGCAAACAGCATAATCATAACCAGCAAATTACGACCTTTCCGTAGACACCTTACTTGACCTCCTTTGTACAAGATTTGGTGCAACGATAGGACCTTGGTTGCAACAATGATCTATACGGTCATGGTTCGTGTCAATAACGTCACATCACGATCTGACCCTGAAGAAAGGTTCAGGTTCTACTGGAGGGATGGAGGCAGCTTTGGGGCTTGTGTCTGCACCTCAACGAGAGGAAGTGGCTCCTTGACCCTGAGGGCCAGGGGAGTGGAAAGGCCTCGTCTCTACTCCTCAGCGCCCTGAGACTGGAAGTTCAAAGGGTAGGGTCAGGGAGGCATGCAATCAGAGCAGCGACCATGGAACCACTGCATGATCCCAGCTCTGGATGCCCCGGTCTCATTCTAGGCACATTTGGATATGACTATGTAACCATTTTTTGGTGGATGCGAAATCGCATCTCCTCCACCCCCTGCTATTATCCCTGCTACAGGTAACTAGTTGACTCTGCGTTCCTAAGGACAGACGCCCCTCTGAAGCCTCCTTGCCAATGGCCTCTCCCACTGCTGTCTGCAGCAAAACATGGCATCTCTCGAGTGAGGACGCTCCACTCATCAGCCCTGCTTGACTTAGAATCCAGCAGTGGCTGCAAAGATCTCCGTTGTAAATGCACGTGCCGTCGCTCGGTCTTCCCTTGCTCCATTTGCAGCAGGCGATCGGGACCAGGGAGCGCTCGGAGAGGGAGCCAGGCTTGTAAAGTTCAGGCCGCAAACGGGAGTGGGGAGAAGGGGAGAGACGCGCCGAAAAACCATCGGAAAGAGCGGAAAGTGAGTCACCGCCAGCAAAGCCGAGAGGAAGACGGAGCGGGGTGGATCTGTGTCCTGGAATGTTGGAGGCAGCAGAAACCCAACCCCCAAACTGCCACTGCAGAGCAAACTGCCTTCACAACATGTGCGTGGAATCCAGCGTCCCCACCCCTGCTTTTTCCTTAAGAACCCCTCGGGTAGGAGCTGAGCGGAAGGTCTGTTTCCTGCCCAGCTCCCCCTAGTCCCACCTGCTTCTCTTCCCATCCAGCGTCCGCCCCAGTCACAGGAAAGAAGCCCTTGTGTGCGAGCCACCTCGGGCAGTGCAGCTGTGAGCTTCCTGCAGCCCCAGTTCCCTTTTTACAGCTCCGTTCAGGAAATCGCGGCCTCCTGGCCAAAATCTGGTTTGAGACCCGCCTCCTTGGGTTCTTTCCTGCCCCCGTTCCATGGGGCTCACATCCCAGAAATTAAAGGGGGAGGTTTAACCACAGGAGCAGGGGAGATTCAGCCAGGTTTAAAGCTTTATTCACCCCTCTGCACACACCAAAAAAACCTTGGCCGTTAAGATCTGAGTAGCTCAGATCTGGGTGGCTGTCACTTCACGATGCACCCTGTGTGCACGAGAGGAAAAGGTGCCCACGTGGTCTGTACAACGCCTTGTGTCTGCTGGCTTAGTGCACGTGAATATGTCTCCATCTAGTGACCTGTCTGGGAGACTACAGTGGTGTTCCCCCTTTAGCTCAAGTGGCGGTTTTGGTGCCGAAGGTCTCAATCCTGAAAACCTGTATCGTCGTGTCTGTCCGTGGTCATGCTGTTTTACTTACCTGCCCACCAACTGTCCTAGGCCTTCCGGTGTTGGGCACAAGTAGGGTTGGTTGGGAATTTTTGGCCAAAAGTTTTTTTTTTTCATTGGAGAATGCCAATCAATTGAAACCAGAACTTTTCGTAGCAGGGAATTGTTTGGACAACAGTTTTGTCAGGAAGGTTTCTTCCAATCCAGGGTGGAATTTCTGGTCAAAACAAGAGAGCCGGGACTGGAGCCTTGGGGTTTCCGTATGCCAAGTGGGCGCCCTGAAACGAGAGAGCCGGAACTGGAACTTGGGGGCTCCCATATCCCGAGCGAGTGCCCTCGCCACCAGGCTGTTGGCCGTTCTGGGATGCCTCGCTTGCTCTCTTTCCATGACAGATTTCCAAAGCTCTCCATGGGCTGCAGGGTCACTGGCTCACGCGGCCAAATGAGTTTGAGTTCCAGCTGCTTGTGAAGATCGGAGTGAATGAGAATTCTTCTGAATTTTACGTTTCTGTGGTGTTGTTTTCCCACCTTCATGCCCCACCAGCGTGATGAGTTATTGGGCCACTGCAGAATGTGGCAGCTACAGCAGGTAAGGGCGCTCCAAAGCTTCGAAAACAGACGTTGTCACGTTATTTATAAACCCTGCTTTGGTCATGACGCAAAGCTGCGCTTTCATCTGTGTAGGATCAAATGCAGCCGACTGAAGAGAGAAGGCAGAGGGGAAACAGACGGAAGGAATATTGGAGGGGCATGTTCGTGAAAAATAAACAAATCAGCCTAAGCAAGTAAATTAAAATGAAATAAACTAGTTCCATTTCCCCACTGAACTTCCTAATTCTCCCCTCAGAACTGGCGCCTAGGAGGATGTTCAAATGTATAATCAACCAGAAGCAGTCCCTAATCCTATAGCGGCAGCGGCGTGTAGTGGGTAGAGCACTAGAGCGGGAATCGGGAAGCTTGGGTTCTATTTCTGGCTCTTCCAGTGACCTTGGGTGAACCACTTCCTTTCTCCGTGCCTCAGTTTCCCCACACCTCCTATCTTATCTATTTAGATTGTAAGCTCTTTGGGGCAAGAACTCTGTCTCACTATGCGTTTGTACAGCCCCTAGCACACGTGGGCCCTGACCTCAATCTCCGAATGCTCTGGGAATACAAATAATATTTCGTCCTTGGATCAATTCGGTCTTTGGCTGCCCACATGCAGCTCCCACAAGGTGGCACTTCTCCTTCCTGACTAACCCCTACTGACGGGCTCAGTCTATGCAGAGCAACTGTGTTGACTTCTTTATCCTGGCACTGAGGGAAGCACCATTGTTCAGGGAGGTGCTGGCCTGGGCTACAGTGAAAAGTTGTGCCGTTGAGGTCTTGGAACAGGTACAGGCTGGATTCAGTCAGCTACGATCCTTGCTGCTGAGTGGCTTCCATTTTTCCCTTTCTATTTCCAGTTCCCTTTTCAGTTACTAATGTACTTGGAGACTAAGGGCTTGTCTACACGGAGATACTCAGGAAAATTAATCCGAATTAACTAAAGGTGTGAATTTAAAGTGGATTAGTGAAACCACATTAAACCCCAGAATTAAAGTGGCTTTAATTTGGTTTAGCTCCCTAAAACTGGGGACTTGAGAGGTGCCGGAAGGAGTCATGCACTCAAGTCCCTTAGGGTACCTAACTGCCGTCGGCTTGGGGTTTTAAAGGCCGTGTTTTCCACCATTGGCTCATTTTGGCCTTGGATTTTGTTGGCCCAGCTTGTGATGCCTTGAGCCTGATGCTTAAGAGGGAATGGAGTTGCAAGTGCTCTGGAAAATAGGCCCCAGACATCTCAAGGGGGGGACCCCAAATAAGAGGTCACCCTTGAAAATTTTGGCCTGTCCCACTCCAGTCTTGCCAGCCATTCAGATGCCCTGCTCATATTCATTCGTATCTTCCTTGTGGTGCTAAATGTTCATCGTTATAACTATTTTAGTTATTAGCGTGGTCATGATTGCTTTAGGACCTGT